GGAGGAGCGGGGCGACGATCGTGCCCGCCGTGCCAGCTCCTGCGCCACCGACGAATCTGGACCTCGCTTAAATAATTTTTATTTTTAAATTTTCTTTTTCCCTTTTTCTTTAACTTGTATTTTTTACTTTTTAAACTTTTTTCTTGCAAGAACACTTGAGAGATCTGTGGAGCATGACGAACGTGAGGCCACTGCTGCGTGGAGGTTCCACACAGCAGTGTCGACCCTCAGCGCCACAACAATTCACCATGGAGCACAATGCCAAGTCAGTAACACATCACTGAACTTAGTAGTGGCACAACGATCGCCTATTCTAGCCAATTCTCTCTGTTGCACGTCCAGAAGAGTTTTAAAATCCTTAAATACTTATCAGTGGCATGATTTTAATTAAATGTTATAAACCTCCAAACAAAGCAGCAGTAGCGTATCCAGGAGTCTTGGAACTGATGTGCAAAAGACAATGCACACCAATTTGGAGACTAGCTCTTACAGAGCCAGTACCATCTGGCATTTCTCCAGATGCTAATATACCAGTTTTAAAAGCAATTCAAACTAGATCATACATAATCCAGAATCGTTTTTCAGCTTACTACTACAAAGAAAAAAGGTGCAAACTGTAGTGGTCCTGAATTACTGCATCGCTGAGGATTTTGAAATCCAGCTGACTTCAATGGGCCATCTAGCTCTCCTTTTCTGTGCACCACCAGCCTGAAACACCTTCTGATGACCCAGGCTCACAAACAATGCTGACTGGGCTTTCCCAACCACATGAACGTGGTTGCCAAATACCAATTACTTTTAAAGAAATGGATTTTTTAATTACTTTGAGCAAATAATTGAATGACATCACTATGCTGGATGTTTGAACAGCACTAAAGCTCAGAGGAGAAATCACTGCTGCTCTTCATTACCTTTGATGAACTCTAAGGGACATCCAAACAGGTTGACCTGTTGAGTGGTTGTGGTGTATCCATCTGTGCAGATGCTCAGTCTGACATCTCCTTAGCAACCAGCTCTAGACAAGCTCATTTTAAACAGCAGGGTTAGACTACACTGTCTGCAGAGGTCCCTTCCAACCTCATCCATTCTGTGGTTCTGGGATTACTATAATCATTGTAAGTGTTTCACTTTAATTTTTCTAGAGACAAAAACCTGTGGTCATTAGTAATTCTGTAAATAACAACTAGTTGCAGTCAGATTTGAGAATGTTCTTTCTACCTGAGAACCACACAATTCAAATTTACACCTTGTTGTGAAATGCAGTTTGTTCCTCCATAACTTACCCAAGCTATCAGAATGATCCTAAACCTACCCTGTTTACACAAGACATCAGGTCAACTTAGTCTTTGAGTCTAGGTTCTGAGATATTACTTAAATTTGAGTTAAATAATTGTACCTTGACCACAAGCTAAGAAACACTGTTCTTTCTGCAGAACTACAGTTCCTTGTAGTATCTGTATGATGCAATTCACTGCTCTTCAAAGCACCCCGGTGAACACTGCAATGAAACTCCTCGGTCAGATTCAATTCCAGGTCTCGTGTTCAAGTACCAATAGAAGCAGAATCAACATTTCTTTCATTTGGGCGTTTCACACAAAATCACAGAATGCTTGAGGTTGGAAGGGACCCTGATGATTTACAAGGGGAAAAGGGAAAAAAAAAAGTTCAACATCATCTTAATGATAGACATCAGATTTAAATTTCACCTGCAGAGCAGAAGTAAAGGGTTAGAAGCTTTTTATTTTCACTGATTGAAATACATTACAAATACACATATTCACTGCTTATTATGTGCCTGCTGCACGTTAGAAACAACAATATAGAACCAAAAATCCTTCTTTAGGTATCAGAAAAACCTTGTGATACACAACACAATGCAGAATCCTACTGCAAATCACTTAACCTCAAACAGGTATAATCCCCCTTGAATATCTGAACATATTCTCTCACACAAAGTACGTAACACTAACATTTACATGTTAGGACCAAAGTGCTTCAGATGAAAAACACAAGTGCTTTCAGGACTGATCTCAACTGAAACAAGACATCTGAGTTTGTTTTCACTAACAATTGCTCCAGGGATGTTTTGCCACAGTATTTTTTTCCTTCTAGAGGAACAACAGTAATGCCTTTAAATATGGCATTAAAGCTGTCAGGCACTAAGACAGTTCAAGAGACAAATTAAAGGCTCTGCCAAAAAGAAATATGAAGGCTTCTAGGACAGCCAGAGGATAGATGATTTTGACCACTCCTTCTGTATACCTCCCTGCAGGGTAACTTTTGCTATGAATATTTAGCTTCTACTCAGGGAAAAACTCCCTTGCCTGATGGGGAACTCTTATTTGTGGCAGGGAAGCGTCATCCTCTCTCTGAACATGGCATCGTTCTTTCAGAATAACAGAAGGATGCTCCTTTCAATAGGCACGCTAACAGACACAAAAAGCCTGAGAAATCCAAACCTTTCATTTCAGATGAGCAGCTGCTTCAGAACTGAAAACAAATTCAGATGTAGTCCCACAAGCTGTTTGAATCTCTTCCCTGGGAAATACCAAAAGCTAGTTCAAACCTTGCATACATAGTCATAGGAAACTTCATCTGGTAATTACACCCTTTTTTAAAGGAACAGATATGCCTGAATAAGTTTTTTTTCAGGTAGCCTGAAAGACGGCACATGGATCACAATTGCAATTCCCACCTACAGCAAATCCCCGGAGTGGTTCATGCTCAGAGCCACTCAAACACAAGTAGTTTTCAAAATGTCTGACTTATGCAGAAGAGACATAGACACTTGTAGTCATAAAAAAAACCAAACAACCAAACAAGTCAGACCAGCAACCTGTATGTGCAAACCATGATGTACCACGCAGAAATGCAGAGGTCTCCATGTCTTCCAAGCCTCACTCCTCATTTTACAGCAGCACAATCATCTTCTCTAACTGCGTTTGGCTGTTGTAATGACTGCCATATGTAATGACTGTCACGTGTCAGAAAAAAAGGACATTTTGTTTGTGCAAACATCTGTTTGTGCAGTTCTTACTCAGTCACCACTGCAGTTACATGTCAAGCAGCACTTTTTTTCCAAAAGGTTAACTAAAGGAAGAACATGCTTTTCTTTGTATCCCCAGTTTATGCAATGTTTTCAGTTACAAGTTTTGGAGAAAAGGTCTCCAGCACGACCAGGTAAAACTTAAATGCGCCCCAGTCATGGCCAACACAGGCTTTGGTTTAGATCCATATAACCCGCGCATAAAGGTGAAGTGAGATAAACTGAAGTCAATGTCACAATTTCACAGGGGCTGCGCAGGAATTCATGACAGCGTGTCAGAAGGGGACAAGCATGCCTCCTCTTCTTCTAACAACACCACCTTCTGTCTGGAGAGAGACATCACAGACTTTATGACAGTTAAAGAAATTCTCACAAAAATGCGCAGGGCAAGAAAAGCAAACGGGATTACGATCTGCATAAGATGGAAAATAGCTGTGCTAAATTCACTCAACAAGCATGTCAGAAAGAAGGCCCCAAGGCTCACACAAGGGTAGAGAGCCAGCTTGGCAAACATGAAGGCATGCTCCTTGCCACCATATCTAGCAAAAGGATGCAAAGTTTCCCTTTCATGGAGGAGGGCTGTAGTCCATATTGCAAACTGAAATATGCTGGCAAAGAAAGTGATAACACAGCTGATCTGAATGGCTTCTATTTCATTGTGAGACTTCTCTGCAAATTCACTGGTTAGCTGGTAAGCGAGTGGAAGCCCACCAATGAAAGCCAATGAAAGTATGTTAAGCAGTCCCATTAATCGTGTAGCTTTTGATACATAAAGGAAAAGCGAATGATGGACAAACCACAGGAGACCAATTGTTACAAATGAGCCAAAGTAGGCAAGGTAGTTTGGCCCGTATTCACTTAAAGCTTCAAGAAGGCTGCCATGGAACTTCTCCTCAACTTCTCTCGGATCAGGGACGTTGTCCTCACTGTAGAGAGAAAACTTACTTTACTTTGCATATTACTGTTATAACAACTCTGAGCAAGCAGGGAAAAACAGGCATCCACGCCACAGTTCTCCAATTTGTAACTTAAAAACTGCATTTCAGATAACAGTTCTGCAAATAAATTAGATCTGAAAGGAAATCCAAAAGTAAAGTTGGCATTCCTCTAGGTTAATGGAATAAAGCTACCATAGTGACTAAACAGCTTTTCTTGAAAAATGCCTTCTATCTGAAAATATGACTAAGCAAAAAGGAAGCTTTTTTTTTTTTAAGACTTCGCACCCCGGTATACATTGTTTAGTCTGGAGAAGAGGAGGCAGAGGGGAGACCTTACTGCTCTCCACAACTGCCTGAAAGGAGGGTTGTGGTGAGGTGGGTTTTGGTCTCTTCTCCCAAGTAATTAGCAATAGGATGAGAAGAAATGGGCTTAAGTTGTACCAGGGGAGGTTTAGATTGTGTGTTAGGAAGAATTTCCTTACCCAAAGAGTGGTGAGGCATTGGAACAGCCTGCCCAGGGAGTGGTGGAGTCACCATCCCTGTAGGCGTTCAAAAAACCAGGCAGACATGGCACTTCAGGACATGGTTTAGTGGCCACGGTAGTGTTGGGTTCACTGTTGGACTTGATGTTCACAGAGGTCTTTTCCAACCTTAACAACTCTATTCCTGTGTCTAAATAGGCTGGCTTAAACTACTGCAGGAATGTGGCCATTAGAAATATCTTCTGTGTTCTGTATCTTTCCAGAAAATCATCAATTAACCACTTCACATTTTAGAAGTCAGTGCTTGGTTAATTTTATTTCTTCATATATTACGTATGGGCAAAAGTTAGTATTATATTTAAAAACACAAAGTGTAAGGGGCAACACAAAGCCTTACCATATATCCAAAATAAGTAGGGTTGCTACAATGGCATAGACTCCATCACTGAATGCTTCTACACGTTCCTTACTCAAAGGCTCACTGAGGTAAAAATTGAAGGTTTCCAAGCTACGGTCTTCCTCTTCTTCATCTCTCTGACCTGAAAACAAATGCAGAGGTTTACTAATGAAAGAAAAAAAAAACAGGTAATATAAACCAAGGTAAACAAGCTGCTGTGGCCTCCTTTTCTCTTTCTCCCCACATGCCAAAAATCTTTCTGAGAAAGAAGTGTGCTGTTCATCCACACAGGTTAGTCACTCCACTTTTTTCATCAGCTGTGCCTCTCCCTGAAGTTCATGTTGCTTTCAGGACAGCAAATGCTTGAGGGACAAAAAAGGTCTGTCCTTTAAATCGTCTGGCAGACCATTTCCACCAAATGAAAAATGACTCAAAGCTGTAGTTGAACAAAACACCTGAGCTAAACAAATCAGGTGCAGTGCCTCAGGAAGTCCTAATAGCCGTAGGTCCTCTAATACAGGGTGGAAAACTTACACTGCTTGGGAGAAAAAACTAAGTGGCACATAGGAGCTGCCCTGGGACATCAAATGGCCTGCTTTAAAGTAACTCCAGTCTCTGGTCAAGAGGTGGAGCTCTGGAGCTTTTAGCGGAAATCAAACGCCTCCCTACAGACCGTGCTCTTAACTGCCCGTCTAGCTCAGCTGCACCAGTTCGGAAGCGCAGACTGGATGAAGAAACAGCTTTCATCTCTCAGAGAAATAAGAATAGGAACTGAATTAAAAGCAAGTGTAATCACAACTCAGTCAGCAGAGCCATCACCTACATCAGCCCTCTGATGGGGCGAGAGGCACACAGACACGACCTGACTGCAAACCACAGTGCCTCCCCTGCGGCAGGCACAGGCCATACTTGTGTTTATTCTCTAGGTCTGAGACTGGCTTTAGCTGTTTCACAGCATTTCTGCCTCCATGGCTATGACTGCTGCCACATGGGGTTCTCAAAGGTATGCTCCCATTTACAGTGTACACAGAAGGACGAGCACTAAGCTGAACAGCAGCAGCAGCAGCACAAAGGTGTTATTCTTCTGAATCACCTCAGAAATGAAGATTCCAAAGACACAGAATCATAGAATTACTTTGGTTGGAAAAGACCTTTAAGATCATTGAGCTCAACCATTAACCAGACACTGCCAAGCCAACCACTAAACCATGCTCCTGAGCACCTCATCTACCCTTGACCTATTGAGTGTTTTTGTGGCCAGTTTATATTGCACTCAAAGGACACTTCACCTTTTGGCAGAGTAGGCTGCACGATACCACTCTCTCCTTTCTTTTGGCACTTGCCACCTCCTTCTCAGCAGAATTTAAGAGCAGCTCTGGCTGTTGGTGTGGTTGTGTCATTGATGGTGCTGACACAAGGAGGACAGAAAGATAAGCAAGCAGTGTGAGGGAAGGAGGTACAGATTTAGGCCGATTTCAGCCATTTGTGAAGGCACTGCTTTAAACCACAGCAGTTAAGATTAATGATATGTAACACCCTAAACAGCTCATTACTCTGAAAAAGTTTGATTTGTAGGTGCTCTGCTTGCCAGTTTGATAATGTGGGACCATACAGTAGTGTTGGGAAGAGCTTGCGTCCTATATCCTTCAATCTCCATGCTCCCTTTTTAGGAGGGAAAATGGAAATATGGCCCGTAGGCATCATTCATGTACTTGTATGTGGGAGCATGCATGGCCACACTCAGGGCAAACTAGAGAGGTTTTGCACTCAGGAACAATCTTTGAATGTGCTGTGCCTCACCCAAAACTAGTGAAAAATTAAGAGAAACCAGAGAATGAGAGAGAAACTGTTAGGAAACATGGCAATAAAACCCAAAATCACTATGTTCCAAGACTGAAACAGAATTACTTCCTAGACTTGAAGTACAAATAAAATGACTTAATTCCAGGCTGTTTGTATACATGTGGACAACCTAATAACTTAACTGAACATAATCCTATGAATACTGTTACTCACCAACAATCTTGGTTTTACACCAGGTAATGAATCGAGTGAGATATGGAAAAACGATTACAAGCCCAAGAAGTAAATAAGACTATGGAGAAGAAAATAAACACAGTTTAAATTTAGTTATTCAAAATGTAAATTACCATCCAAGTTTAATATGAAATTATTACTCTCAGTCTTTAGGTATAATCACATTGAAAAAAACCAAAACTTGACATTATGACGTGGAAGAGGCTCACCCGAAATGCACGTGCACCTCCTGAATATTGCATGCACAGCCTAACACTGCTTTTTGATAGCTAATTTAGTACCAGAAATGAAGCAAGTTAAGACAAGAAGGGAAATAAGTCTGTTAACAGAAATGCAGGAACAACTTCTTTGGAAGCTGGAGAACTATCCCGCATGATCCTTATGGGTCCCTTCCAACTTGAAATACTCTATGATTCTACTGCTTGTGTCTCAAAGTCACCTCAGTGGGTGGTAAACGGTTCTCAGGCTTTGCACAGGTCTCAGCACAAGAGCAATTTGGAGACTATTTTCACTGTTATTAATATTAAAAGAAAATACACGAGTGGACATGGTGAGGCAGAAGAGGGAGGTAAGAGTGTAAGAGGAAAACATATTTTCAATTAAAATTAGGCCTTTTCACATCTGGATTCATAACTGTCCCTTTTATCAATGGTAGCCCAATTCCTCCCAAATTTGGAGATTATTTAAACACTTCTGATTCCCATGGAATCTCTCAAAATTCACCTTTTCCTAAAGAAAAAGGCAGCTAAAAGGAAGCTCTGAATACAAGAACTAGATTTCAGTTCCAAGCAGGCGTTCTGAGAAAGATAAAAAAAGGCTATTTATCAATAGGAGAACTCAATGCCATTTAACAAAATGGCAGAGAAAGAGGCTGTGCAAGAGCAGGCCTTAGCCAAAAACGTTTGTTTTGAGATGCAGGTGGACTAAGTGGTCTGCTTATACTATTTGCTCTTATACCCTGAGTCAGTGCAGCAATTACATTCACCTGTCCTTGGTTTGTGCAATGTTTCTTTCACGTAACCTCCCACATTGTCTCACCTACTTATGATAAGCAAGATGCTAAGTTAAAAAAAAATATCAGTCAGAAAATTGTAGCAGAATATTCTTTCAAAACTACCCAAACTCAAAGTACAGATACCTGTGGATCAGCACCTTAAATGCAGAACTGCAGCCATGACTGCATCACCACAGAATCCTGCATATTTAACGTGGACATCACTATTCTAATGCAGTCCTAAATACAACCAATATAAACTGCTGCATTAACGTTTTCAGTTAACTGGGAGAACTTACCAGAGGAATAAAGAAAAAAGAAAAGATAGCTGCTAAAAAGCACAGAACTGGTCCTCTTAGGATAATCTTTAAGATACGGTATTTATAGAAATTCTGGTTTTCAGACATCTGTATCTGTTGATTCAGTAAATGTGGGTGATAGAATCCATATGCTACTATCACAGCCTGCAACGAGAGGAGCATTACTGAAGCTACTACATAATAGCATATGCAGTATTTCACATATAAAACTGTAAAACTATAGATCAACAAATTCCAAAACACCTCCAACTTTATTCTTCACTCCCACATTGAAGTCTGGTCTTAGAAGCTCTGAGATTTCACAATACAGTGCATATCAAGATTTTAGCCTCCTCTGCAGAGCTTGTCATGGCCATGGATCTTATATGAAGATGAATGAAAACTTCCACAACAAGAAACAGAAAGTGGCAAGGCATTGCACCAGAAGAAAAACAGTGCCCTTAGACTGAGGCTGAAAGTCCATGTTCACTCAGCCATCGCTGCATGGCTCAGTAAGAACCTCAGCCGGAAGTCAACTGCCACTTCCCCATGGCATTTTTAAAGAGTGGGAAAGGAATTGCTGTTCTGTGGACTTCAAGATCAGCTGGTTCAGCTGCGTAAATCACCTTCACAGGAAAGCAGCAATGCAAGCTTTCATCTTATATACAGGTACTATATTATTAAAACAGGCACAACTTTGATGAAAAATCATGTACAAACAAAAAAGACATTTAGAAATTTATACCCACAGTTAAGAAACTTATTTTAGTTCTACCCAAGAAAATCTATTTAAGAGTGAAAATGTAAACGTATAGCTCCAATACCTGTATAAGGCCAATGACAACAGCACAGACACTGAACAGGAAAATGCCAAAAGGTACTTCTGGAAAGGAGGCCATTAAGGAAAACTAGAAAAAAAAATGCAACTACATCAAATATTTAGTTAAGAAGCAATGGTGGTGTAACAGTAGAGAAACAGAAGCACTCTTCATTCAATACCAAAACTTAAACCCACTACTTTGCATTTCAACATAGTGCAATTTCTAGACACAAATTACTTGCAGGCATCCCAACCAGAGGCATCTGGAGAGATGGCTTTGTTTTCATGCTGATACCACAAACCTTAACGACTATGACACCATGTCTCCATAATAACTACAGACTGGCTCGTAGCTGAGCATAAAGTTTAACAGTGCTTTCAGTGGGCAAGATGTTCACAGCAGTGAAAATTCTTGGTATTAGGATATCTTTTTGAATTTTTCATGTTTTTACACTCATGGCTCCCTGTTGTATTAATTTCTGCAGGTTCATGATGGGGAAAAATTAGAGTAGGGAGTAACATTAGGGAGTAACGTTAGGGTAACACTGACAACTTTCCAAAAATTGTTTCAGCTTTAAGTCAAAGTAAAAAGCATGTGCTATTACTGATAAAGACTATTTTACTGACCAGAGTCTCATTCTTTACAGACTAATACATAACACAGATACATCTGCAGAGAAACAGATGCCTGTCATATAAATCTTTCCTACACATACAGTAACAGTCAACATGCACTTTAAGCAACTGTTTTGTTTTGCTAATATGGTGTTCAGCTGCAAATATTCTTGCTAAGTCTTAAAGGTCATCTGACCAGAGATTGTGCAGAACATCAAACTTGCAGACTTAAAAAACGAATTCTTAGCTGCCAGAATCAACTTTGCTGAATAAGTCAGAAAGTATTACCAAAAAACTCTGTCTAGATAACAAAAGGAAAATGTTTTGTCATCTAAAGAGAAGTCTGAAACACAGCTTTAGTTCCCTTACAAAATGCAAAATTCTCATCGGGCAACTCTGACATTTTTCAAAAGAGCTGCTTTTTTAAAAGAAATCATGGGAAACTATACTTTCCATAATGATAATTTTTCTTCTAGACTATCTCTTTTCTACCAGGTATATAGCATGCAGTAATTGAAGGTTATAACATGTCCTCATGAATTTTAATAAAGCAAGTCTTAACTCTTAGAATGGATTCAGGGTTTATACTACACTAGCACGCCTGGGTTTCTGAATGCTTTGGTAAAGTAGTTTCAGCTAAATAAATCCCCTGTACTTTAAATATATTTCAAGTTTTAGAAAAGTACGTACCGTGTATGGCAAGAAAGTTATGATCATCATACAAGCCTAAAAAAGAAAAAAAAAAGACATACTGAAACACTAGGTAAAGTACATAGAAAGCAGTTCCTTCATTACAGATGTGTCCAGAGAATGCAACACAAACAGATCAAATGGTCATGCTGCATCATGAAAAAAATCACATTTCTGAAGTTGCTGGGCTTTGAGTGAAACAGCTAGTTCTATACACATATTCCATATTTGCTCTCAAAGATGTACAGGCTTGTTTTAGAAAACTACAGTTTTGTTACCAATAACACAGGTAAAAGTTTTGCTGTGGTTTCTAACAGATTTCTTCCTAAAGTCACAATGCCAAAAGTACCACGCTTCCTAAAGAAGTGTTTCTGATTTGTCAAAAACTTAAATCTTTTAAATATTACATATATAAAAAGCCAAATTAAAAAACAAAACAAAAAAAACCACCAAACACCTCAAGCACAAAGAAATGCATTGCTTTGAAAGCTATATTAGATAAGAATTCCATGCCTTAAGCTAGTCTTCTAATGTTATATCCTGTAGTTTTATCATATGGAGTTTAAACTTCGTATTTTTATTTAAAAAAATAAAGTAAATAGGTGATTGCACACTGTCAGAGAACAGAACGCTAAATAATATAGCCAAATACAAAGCTCTGTCTGAAAGTAAGAGTATGTTCACCACTGCAGCATCTGACTATCACTGCTAGTAATTAAGATATTACAGGGTTAATTAAAAACATAAAAAACATAACTCAAATAAAAGAAGAATTCTTAAAAAAAGATTTTGCCAAGTGTAAATCTCATAACACTGAATCAGAGATTGGTCTCTCAGTGGTAGGTTTTGAAATACCATATAATCCCTGTTTCAAATAAGCTGCAGAATACGTTTCTGAGCAACTTAAACAGAGAAATGGCTGAAAACACAACTGTAATTCAAACCTACCACTAAGAATTTTTGCCACAAAAGACATAGCATTTAATTTTTTTAAGCATGGAGTACAGATACTTCAGCTGGATACAGGTGAACAGAGTCAAAAGCTTTTGCCAGAGGTGCCTTTTCAGTTCCCTCAGATGAGTTTCAGACTAAGCTCTTGCAGAGCTTGTTTTGGCTTATAGTAAAACATATGAAAGTTAAAAACAAGCTAGCCACTTTGGCAAGGAGAAATTCAGGCTCTTTGTATCTTCCTGACCTGGAAATTCGGCAGTTACGCTATTTAGATTAGAAACTTTTGGATATGTACAGACTTAAGAAAAAGTGACCTGTACTTGTTAGTTTGAATATTCAGTGTGCCTGCCAAGACTCACCAGATTTAGAAGAGCAAGGACATCATCTATGAGCTCTATCACCTGAAATAACCTGTCAAGGCAAGACAAGGTATCATGAACACGCCAGCTCCCAGAATGTTTTACCACACTGTATACAAAATGTACTTTTATGTGATTAGAGGGAAACCCATTTTCCTTTGCTTCAGAATTTATACAAGTAGTCCAGGTTTGCCTGGACATGCTGGACCACTCACACATTTGAAGCAATTTGTTAGAAAAATCTGAAAAGTGAGACACAAACAGTCAAGTTCAACATGGAGCAGTTATCAAGAACCTCACTTCTATTTGAACGACAAGTGGCATATGATGCAGTTAGGGGCAGATTATTTTCAGAATTTTAATGCTTAAAATTATTTCTCCCGAAGATACAGCATAGTTATTATTATTATGCAAAGAAAATGAGCTTTTCCTCCAAACTGCCCCACATTTTGTTAAATTCCTGATCCACAGAAGTGTCACTTAGAACCAACAGAACCAATCACCCTCCACAAAACCCTAAACTATGCAAAGACTATGCCTCAGCATTTACTTACGCAATCAAAGAAAAGCAGTGTGACAAAAGCACTGATATGAAGTATCAGCTTCAAGTCCTGAAGTACAGGTTGCATGTCTCTATTAAGATGCAGTCAACCCACTTAAGGAAAGAATAATTTTTAAATTTCAAAATTCAGACAAAAACTGCCACAATGATGCAGTATGATACCTGCACATGAACTTCTTTTTAACTACCATGACATGGTCAGGTGGCCCTGTGCACAGCTGTACAAAATGCAGCATCTGCAACATTACCACTGATTTTGTAAGAAGCACTGTTTAGGACTGAGACAGACAAATTTTAGGCCAGCTGTACTGTATCAGTTTTATCATATCAGATATGAGTTTGTAGCAACTCTATTTGTGTAGCACACAGGTTACAAAGTCATGCTTTTTCAGCATAATTAGAAGTTTAATTTCTTCTAGAATATTAAGTAAAATGAAGAGTAACTCTAATTTAAAAGATACACAGTGCTTGCTTTTCTCTGTATTACTGTGTGTCAGTGGTGTAAAAATGCAGTTATTCACTGTATTCATAGGGTAGCATTTCATGACAATGAATTTTTTACATTATCCAACAAATGACAATTAGGAAATATATCAGCAAGACAGAAATGTATCAGACATATGGTTATCTCCTGTTCTTCTAAATAAGTTTTAACTTGAGTTAAACAATGTCAAACAAATTCCTACCTGACATGAGCTGCCCATGCCACTGTGACTATTAAGAAGGTCATCAAGTAGACTGCAATTTTTGCTAGAAGAAGTTGCTGAACACTTTCACCTAGTTTCTGAAACAGAAAGTGACACCCAGAGGCAGAGATAGGGAAGAGAAAGAAATGTTACACCATGAAGTTCTTAGCAATACCTGCAAATGAGGAAGGGCACACAGTTGTGAAAGAGATTTTTTGAAAATGCCTGCCAAGAATGCAGCTCTCTTTCAACAGTTTTTTTACTACCATGCAGAAGAACAGGTTTATTAGACACTTGTAATATGCTGCAATGTGCAGTTAGTGGTATATGATGTACCACCACATCTCTTCAATCTGTAAAAGAGCTTCTGAATGCTCTGTTCACCCTCCGATTCACTCCTGCACCCTCTCATCACCATTACCGTGACAATCATTTCACAGGGCTGGCCACAAAAGGCCTTTTACTTTCTCGGCACTGACTCCTGGCGTAGAAGCATCATTTTCACAGCAAATTTGGAATGTACCACCACACTGGCTTAAACAGACTTCTGTGGCATATTTGCTGTGTTATGGATCATACTTGAGTTTCCTAAACTGAGACAAAATATTTCTCTACATGTTTTTTTTTAGAGCAGAAAAAGAAATTATGATTATGAAAATACTATAAACTTCCTCAAATGACTCATTTACATTCTCTAACATTCCTGTTTCCTTCAGAATTAGTCTAATTCTGTAGTCTTCTTTTTCCACCTTTTCTCATCCTGATTACACTTATCTTTAACCTGATTATAAAAACAGCATTCAGCTTTCATGATGAGTGACTTCTCCAAGTGACACTGTATTACCAAGAGTAGCATACACTTTCTGGAGATGTTTTGGTGGGATGGGCAACTCATTTTTCACACAAAAGTAATGGGATAAAATCTCTGGTCTGCAATATACAGCTCCTTCAGACTTTGTATCACAACTTCTGCAGATTACACAGATCTTCAGGATTTACATTTTTCACCCAGAGATCAACAGCTCCTCCCACTAGGGGAAATTTCTGTTAGCTTTAATGTTACCTAACGGTTCAAGATCTCTGAAAGTCTAGACCTTGAAATGAAGTGGGGGTGCTAAAATAGGCTGTACCTGCCAAGACAGGAGGAACAACAAAACAGAAGACGTAAGATACCTGATCAGGATGGATTTTTGTGTGCGCCACAGGCAAAATCTGAAATAACAAAACCTTATTAGCACAGGATATTCTTTTCCTTACTGAGACGTTTATTCAAAACCCAAAAACTTGGCGCGGCC